CACGTGGTTAAGCACCCCTGAGTTCAATCCCTGGTTAAAAAAAAAAAAATCATACTTGATTACCATCATCCCACTGAAAAAAAGAAAGATGGGTATGAGGGACTCCAATGATGAGGAGATGCCCAGGAAAAGCATCGTAAGGGTTTTTCAATTTGTAAGCCATGGCTTTTGTTTTCTTTCTATGATCTGCTCTATATCTTCTGGCCAGCTGCCACAGAGCTAAAGCACTAACCCTCCCCGCACACTCTCTCCTCCCAGGTCACAGGCAAGGCCCCAATTAAAACAGAGTTGTAAAAATGTAAAACAAACTGTGAGGAATCACACACACAGAACTTCAAATGGCCAACCTCGAAATCATTGAATTTGCTTAGGTTCACAGGCCTAAGTTTGTTACAGGGGTTCACTTGCTGCTTTGACTATATCCCTTAGGGTTTGAAACTTAAATGGTTTTTTTTCCTTTTTCCCAACCTTCTCCTTCCTGATCTTCTCCTCCCTGATCATCTTTTCCCTTTTTCCCTGATCTTCTTTTTTTTTTTTTTTTTTTTTTAGAGAGAGAATTTTTTAATATTTATTTTTTAGTTCTCGGCGGACACAACATCTTTGTTGGTAGGTGGTGCTGAGGATTGAACCCGGGCCGCACGCATGCCAGGCGAGCGCGCTACTGCTTGAGCCACATCTCCAGCCCCTCTGATCTTCTTTTCTCTACCCTTTTCCCCTGATCTTTTCTAATCTTTTCCCTAAACTTCTCCTCCCTAATCTCATTTTCTCTGAATCACCTCAATAAAAGCCCCATTCCTGCAGATGGACAAAATCACAGCCTTTAGGACAGGAGTTCCCTGTGTTTATCCTTTGCTAACAAAGCAATAAACCTTCTTTTTCCGTTTTTCTCAAAACCATGTCCTTGTTATTGGATTGGCATTGGGGACAAGGACCAAGCTTTTGGTAACAGGTTAACAAGGTGGCCTCAGGACTGAGTTAAAATGCCTGTTCTAGAACTGACCATTTATCAACACTGATGAACCTCCTTGGTGCCCAATCTCTGAGATCAAACAATCTCACAAAAAGATGATATATATGCCTGTAATTCCAGCAACTCAGAGGCTGAGGGAGGAGGCCCGCAAATTTGAGGCCAGCATCAGCAATTTAGCAAGATCCTACCTCAAAACTAGATAAAAATTGGGGCAGTCCTGGGAGTATACTCAATGATAGAGCACTCCTAGCTAGGTTCAATCTCCAGTGTCCCCCACCTAAAAACAAACAAAACTACATGCTCAGAAGTAGCTCTGCAAGGCAAGCTTTACTTTTGCAGAAGGTTGTGTACTGAACTCAGTCTGGCAAACAAGCACACGTGGTTGGCCAGTCTGCCTGGTTTTTATCCCTAATGCAGAACTGCCTCTTGTTCTGACAGGAGAATTGGGATTACAATCCATGTGACTGGTTAATTTAAAATAAGATTGGCTTATTTCACTTAGCATGGTGTCCTCCAACTCCATCCATCTACTGGCAAATGCCATAATTTCATTCTTCTTTAAAGCTTAGTAATATTCCATTGAATATATGTATCATATTTTCTTTATCCATTCATCTATTTAAGGACACCTAGGTTGGAGTTGTACAGTTTAGCTATTGTGAAGTGAGCCACTATAAACATTTTTTTGTGGCTGCAGTCACTGTAGTATGCTGATTTTAAGTCCTTTGGGTATAAACCAAGGAGTGGGATAGCTGGGTCAAATGGTGATTCCAATTCACACTGAGGGGGGTGGGGCACTAGGGAAGAATAGAATTACTTTAGATTAGGTAGAGGGGAGTGAAAGGAGGGGAGGGGAGGGGAGGGGATATGGAAGATAGGAAGGATAATAGAATGAAACAGACATTATTACCTTTTGTACATGTATGACTGCATGGCCAATGTGATTCTACAACATGTACAATCAGAAAAATGAGAAATTATACCCCATCTATGTATGATATTATTAAAGTACATAAATGCATTCTACTGTCATGTATAACTAATTAAAACAAATTTTAAAATTATAAAAAAATAGGGAAGGGAAAAGGGAAAGATTATAGTTACGTTGAATACATGTTAGGGAGCTTAAAAAAATGGCTACATTTTAACCATATGACTTGGTAACTTTAAATGTCTCCATAATACATCATGGAATCTAGGTTATAGTAAACATGTTTATGTATTACATTACAGGTTTAACTCTGACAGAAAAAAAAAAGCAGTGACATTGCACTAAGCATTCATCATCCAGCTTGTTGGCTTGTCCCTGATAAGAATTTTTCTTCTCCTTCCACTTGTCTCATGAATTGTCGACACTTTTGAGTGGCAGCAGAGAACTGAACTCTTCTCAGTTATGGTGAAAGGGAGACATACTACAAATAGAGAATCCCTTTACAGATGTGAATTTCCATTTCAAAAAGATAACTTCCATGGTTTTCAGAGTGTCTCCTCTATCTGTATTCTCAAAATAACCAGCTCAGAATAAGCCTTATTAAATATGGTGGTGACATTTCAGTCTTCCACTGTGCAAGTCCAGGCCATCGAGGAGGGGCAAGTAGACCCCAATGCAATCTCAAACTGGGGATTGAATTCAGGGATGTTCTACCACTGATCTACATCCCCGGCCTTTTTAGTTTTTCTTTAGAGACAGGTCTCCCCTTAAATTGTTGGGGCTGGACTTAAAAGTTGCAATCCTCCTATCTCAGGTTCTCCAGTGGCTGGGATTACAGGTGTGGGCCACTGGGCTGCTAGCCTCCTCCTCCTCTTGATAAGAAGACTGTGGTTTGTTTGTACTATAGCTAGCACCACTGTTGCTGAAAACTCAGTCCTTGTCCCCAATGCAAACCCAATAACGAGGACATGGTTTTGACAAAAAGGGAACAATTTTTATTTAATTCATGCTTTATTATATACATCTCCTCATAGAATCCTTAGGATAATGTGGTAGGAACTCACTTTATACATAAACTGAGGCACAGAGAATAGGAAACTTGTTGAAGATCACACACCTGGTAAATAACCTGTGGGAGATACAAACCCAGATCGTTCTGATCCCCCCAAAAGTTCAAAACTGCAAAGAGCATAAAGATAGTAGTAAAATAGGTTTTCAAGTAAAGTTTCTATGTTAGCTTTTTGTCCCTGTGACCAAAATATCAGACAAAAACAACTTTGAGGAGGAGAAGTTTATTTGGGGCTCATGGTTTCAGAAGTTTACTCCATGGTGGGACTGACTCCCACCATGGCCTAAGGCAGGCAGATCATGGCGGAAGGCCATAGTGGAGGAAAGTCACTTGCTTCATATAAGTCAGGAAGTACAGAGTAAGTGGCAGGAGCCAGGAAGAAGATACATAATTCCCAAGGCATTCCCCCAGTGACCCACCTCCTCCAGCCATGGCCCACACCTGCCTGAATTTACCTCCCAGTTAATCCATTCAAATTATTAATCCAGCATATGGATTAATCCATTAATTAGGTTACAAATCTCATAATCTAATATTTCACCTCCTGCATTAATACAGGAGGTTTTGGGGGACACCTCACATCCAAATCATAACAATTCCTTTTAACACAATTCTAGGTTTGTCCCATTAAAAGCTAGTTTAATTTATAAAATATGATGTGTGAAGAGAATAAAGTAAATAAAATAAAAACTATGAACAGATACAATTAGAGACTTTTTCAGGTCTGCCACTAAAAGCAGCATCTTGCTTTCTCTGCTATTTGTGGTAATCTACTCTGATTGAGAGTGAAGGAATAGGGCTGGGGTTGTGGCTCAGGGGTGGCGTGCTTGCCTAGCATGCATGGGGCACTGGGTTCGATTCTCAGCACCACATGCAAATAAATAAATAAAGGTCCATCAACAACTAAAAAATATTTTTAAAAAAAGAGTGAAGGAAGAGATTGGTGGTGGAGATGGGGTCATTTAAGGTAACCCATTTCCTAAGTATCAAGCTACAGATTATGAGAAGCATTTCAATTTTTAAAATATTTTTATTGTTTCTTTTTAGGTATATGTAACAGCAGAATCCATTTTGACATAATTATAAAAACATGGGTTATATCTTATTCTAATTCAGACCCCAATATCTCTTCTTCCCGTTCTTTTTCACCTCCCTGTGCTCCCTTCCCTCTATTGATCTTCCTGCCATTTACCCATAGTTACCTTTTTTAAAATTCATTTCTTGTGGCTGTACATGATGTTGAGATTTCACTGTGGTATATTCATAAATAGGAAAGTTGTGAGAGATTCCTTCCCCTGTTTTTCCTTTTCCCATCCCACTCCCTTCTCTTCATTTCCCTTTGTCTAGTCCACTGAACTTCTACACCACCACCCCTTATTGTGGGTTAGCTTTCACATATCTGAGAAAATATTTGACCTTGAGTCTTTCGACTTAGTGTGATAGTCTCTAGCTCTATCCATTTACCAACAAATGTCATAAAGTCCTTCTTCTTTATGGGCTATTATTCCATTGTGTTTATTTACCACATTTTCTTTATCCATTCATTTGTTGAAGGGCACCTAGGTTGGCTCCCTGGCTTAGCTATTGTGAATTCGGTGGCTATGAACATTGATATGGCTGCGTTGCTGTAGTGAAGCATTTCAAGTTATCTGAAAGGGCCTCACGTATGAGTGTTTTTTCTAGGTAATGAGGGAAGGTTGGCAAAGTAACATAAAGAATGATGTCAGTTGGGGCTGGGATTGTGGCTCAGTGGCAGAGTGCTTGCCTAGCATGTGTGAGGCACTGGGTTTGATTCTCAACACTGCCTATAAATAAATGAATAAAATAAACATCCATCGACATCTTAAAAAAAAAAAAAAAAGAACAATATCAATTCCCAGGACTTACCAGAGAAGGGACTGAGGCAGGATGGGCTACCAGGAACATGGAACTTGCCAGGAAGAAAACAAAGCCCTCTAAGGAAGTGTCTGGGATCGGCCACAGCAGTGAACAGTCAAAATGCTCATGACGAAGTAGTAAGGATAGCAAGGCAGGCTCTCAGTCTCTTTTTATTACGTACTGAAGTCCCAAAAACCTTCTAAAGAAGAGATTATAGGCATTAGCAGCAATTGCTATTTCATGCTTACAGTGCTGTTTCCTGGAGGTCTCGTATTTGGGGGGCAGTTGTTGGACAAGTCGTAAGTGGACAGTACCAGAGTAGAGAACCAAGTCCTCTAATACATGTGACAGATACGTAACTAGTGTCTACAGCGGTGACTCTCTATGTTTAGCGAACAACAGGTTCTGCCAACTCCTGGATCCTTGAAGAACATTGTGCTTTCAAAGCAGCCGGCTTGACTTTAAAGGCATTAGGATCGTAGAAGAGAATATGCATAGGAGCCCTGAAATGGGAGGAAAAGAAATCAGCCTGAAGAACTAGAGTTTCCCCAAGCACCCACTACGTGTTAATCACTAGGACATCATCTCATTGAGATTTTCATGACCTCCACTTGCAGACAAGAAAAGGAAGGCTCAAAGAGGTTGTAAGAATGATCAATGGCCAAATCCAGATTTGCACATCTGTCAGATTCCAAAGACTTTGCTCTTTCCACAGAAAGTGAATTCTGGAAAAATTTTCAATAATTAGCAATGTTAAAATAAGCCAGACAGTCCCCGATAGTCATCTAGCAGTCTAGAAAAATATGTAATTCTTTTGTGGGTATGCTGGGGATCAAACCACAAGTGTTCTTTCTACCTTGAGCATCTCTAAGCAAATGCATTTTTTCTTACACAAATTACAACAGTGCTCTGTTTCACAACTCATTTCAATGAACAATATGCATTGGATAAATATTTCATCTCCATACTTACAGAGCTATCTTCTAAGTCTAAGGTTCGGTGCCTAGTCCACTACCCTACTGGTATCTTTATATTTATTAGAATAAGACCATATATTTGTCACAATAAATGTAACTAGTAAGCTATATGTGTAATCCCAGGCACTCAGGAGGCTAAGGCAGGAGGATCTCAGGTTCAAAGCCAGCCTCAGCAAGTTAGTGAGGCCCTAAATAACTCAGCAAGACCCTGTCAGTACATAAAAAAATATAAAAAAGGGATGGGGATGTAGCTCAGTTGTTAAGCGACCCTGGGTTCAATCCCTGGTACTAAAACGAACAAACAAAAAAAGTAACTAGTGACATGTTATTGCAATTTTTTAAAATTTTGACAACTCTTTTCATTAACCTTATTAGATCAACCTTTTCCCTGTCCCCAGACACCCAACCTGTCCTAGTCCACATTAGCCTTAAATTGGCATACCTTGAACTTGGATTAGCTAGTTCCTGAATTCTAGCAGATATCTGAGAATGGGTAGCAGCATGAGAGACTGGCCACTGGGCATCACGGGCAGGTAGGTAATCTTGATGGACAGGCTTGAACTTAGCTAGATCTATCGTTCGGGAGCTAGGTATGGCGAACATGGCTGCCGGGGATACCTGTAGGGGAAACAAAGAGACACAAAAATACATCCCAGCTTTCACCACATCTCCCTATCTCGACAGCTGGCTCCCGTTCCTCTCCTGGATTGCTGCAACAGACTCCTGACAGGCATCCTACTTCCATCCTGGTCTGTGCAATCCAGCCTCCCCATGAGAGTTACCAGGGAATGAACAAGTAGATAGCGTGTTCCCTGAGACAGACAGAGTTCTAAGTGATTTGCCCGTGTCACTCTCACTTCATCACTATGACAACCCCATGAGGTAAGCACTTTTTATTTTTATTTATTTATTTATTTGTACGGGGGGATTGAACTCAGGGGCACTTGACCACTGAGCCACATCCCCCACCCTGTTTTGTATTTTATTTAGAGACAGGGTCTCACTGAGTTGCTTAGTGCCTCGCTTTTGCTGAGGCTGGCTTTGAACTCATGATCCTCCTGTCTCAGCCTCCCAAGCCCCTGGGAATACGGGCATGCGCCACCGCACTCGGTGAGGTAAGCCCTTTCTAAAGCCCAATCAGAACATGGCACTCCAGGCTTGAAGCCCTTCCTGTAGCTGCCCATTTTGCTAACATAGCTTCTTCCTATGCCTAAGAGTCCCTGTAGGATTTGGCTACCTGCCACTTCTCTGACCTTCCCCACTGGGTCACTATGACCCTGGTCACAGGAGGCCCCTCTGGTCCAGCTTCTTCTGCTCATGACCTTTATAGCTGCTAATTCTGCTTGAAAACCTCTTTCTGCCATCTTGGCTCGACTGCCTCTTCCTCTTCCAAGTGTCTGGACTCAAACATCAAGTCCTCACAGGGGGCTTGCTGACCAGCCAAAATAAACCAGCCTCTCCAATGAAGCGCCTCTGTGGTTCCCATCTACTCTCCTGGCTAGCAGTTATCCAGACCTGAACCAGCTTGTGAAGTACTGTTTATTGCCTGCTTCTCCCCAACAGAATAGAAGCCACTGGAGGGGATGTGCTTGTTGGGCAGTAACTAGAACAGGCTCTGGCTTGTAATTGGTGCTGATAATATGTCAACTGACAGTCCCCCCTTGATCTTCTGCCAGATTGCCTTTCTAGTATGTGGCTTTATTGGTAAAATAAGAATGACATGTAGCTACTGTTCTCTCTGTTAAGTGTTCATCCTAAACTTCTCAGCCACCCTGAAAGTATTCTGAGTTGCATGAGGCCAGTGAGTTCTGGATTCTAACAGTATGATTTTTCACAGCAGTATCTCCCCTTTTTAAAAAACTTGTAGTAAAACAAAAAACTCAAACAATTCTAGCAATAAAGGAAAAATATCTATCATGCCCATTTCCATACAAAAAAAAATAGCATTAAGTCATTTTCCTGCAAATTCAAGACACTCTCCCAAGAGTTTTTGGTTCCCAGAATGGTTTTCCTTTTTAAATCCTAAGGTTCCCAGAGAGAGGATGGACCTGGTCCTCCCTCTTTCGGCAACATGATATTTAATGAAAACCCAACTGAGACAGGGCACCAAGTTGGCACTGCAATTAAAGAAGGGAAATGTCAAGGAGGAAGAGGAGGGAAGCCAGTGGGTGCACCAGGCTCCAGGCTGAGCACTTGCTTTCGCTGCTACTATGTCACAGCTGACCTCTAAGTAGGAGGTCAAACACCTGCCATTCCCTTGCTCACCTGCTCCACCCAAGCTCACCCCAGATTGAGGGCTTGGGTATGTGCTCTTCCCTACATTGGAACATTCTTCTCCCAGATCTTCACTCATCTGACCCCTACTCCCTCTTCAGGGTTGGCCCGAACTTTTATTCCTTAGAGTGGCATCACCAACTACCACATGCCAAGTAAATTATTCCCCACCACCACCACCACCACAGTCACTCACTTCCTATTTCATTTTCTCCATAGCATTTATCACTACCTGGCATTGTCTTATCTTTTTACTTATTTATTGCCCCCCCCCCATGAGCTGCATTTGTTCCCTGGGAAGAGTACTTGGCACACAGTACACCTTCGAATGCTGAATGACCAAGGCTCAGGAAGGCTGCCTTGACATCATAAAGCTGGCATGGGTGAGGTGGGAATTTGAACCCAGCTCCTGCTGACTCCAAAACCATGCTCTTTACCCCCAACTCCTCTGCCTCCCTCAGTCGTCATGTAGCTAGGTTTTCCTTCCTGCCACGGAACACTCTTCCAAGATTCTTTCTTTCAATGATTTTGGGCTAGGTCCTGTAGGGGGAGAGGGGAACACCTTAGGAGCAACCAGAAAGAGCAGAAGGATGGCAAGACAGGCAGTAGTGGCTTACAGGTCGGATGGGCATTTCGCTTCTTTGTCTCTCATAGCACAGACCATCTAACTTGATCTTTGGGTGGGCAAGGTCTATAATTCTTGGAGTTGCAATAGCACCCAGGGTAGAAACTGAAATCTTAGTTTTAACCTAGAGAAGAAAAATAAAACAGTACCTATAAGTATTAAATAATAAACACCATCTAGTTCCAAGATGAAAGAGTATTATCTGATCTCTGGTCCAGGCTTCCCAGTAACCAGCAAAAATGATGAGAATCTTACAATAACCCCTGGTCACATCTGGAAGGTTCAATGTCTCAAACTATATAGATTCCAAACCAACTTTTTAGGAACTTACCTGTTAGACTACAGAGATAGAGGACATAGCAAACAATGTTACATATCGACTCAGAAATAAATGATAGCATTGATTTGTAGACTGATAAACTCTGGGAAGATTCAACCTTATCACAGAATTCTTCTTTGTTCTTGATTATTTTTGCCCTTTGGAAACTGGGACTCATATTATCACTGTGCCAAAGGGAATTTAAGTGGCTGTCTTCTAATTGGGATAAATAAGAAAAAAAAATAGCCAATAGGAAAATAATGAAGCCAATAAGAATAATGGAGAACTATATACCTGCACTGGACCCCCAAGTCATTCCTCATTTTCTTGATTATGAAAATTAGATCAAATTACATGGCCCTCTATTTAAATTACTTATATTTAAGTAACTTCTTATATAAGATTTGAAAGGAAATATAATCAACAACTGGAAATAAAATAACTCTTCAACCATGGGTAGAAAAATATGGTATACATAAAGTATTTTCTGAATTCTTTCTTGTGTTAGTTAAATGATGATGATGATGACACTAACACTGACAGTTTCACATGTAATTAGTTTATTTCTCTCCTGGAGTATCAATTTTATTTCTATTTCACTAATGGTGTAACCAAGGTGCTTGAGATTCAGTAGTTGAAGTTTACATCGTTAGTAAGCGGCAGGTCTGGAATTCTAACCAAAGGTCTTGCATGTTGGTACAACACCATGAAGGACTGATTAAACATTTAAGCATTTCCTATGAATAAAGCTTTTGTCTCCTATCAGGCTCTGGCAAATTGAAGAAGTATGTGGCAACCATTGCCTTCAATTAAGCCTTCCAATCAAAAAGGAAATAAAACAATCAATCATTAATTCAATTCATTAAACAAATATGTCTTAATCAAGTATATTATGTAATGCATAATAAATAATAATAAAATACAGTTTTTTTCCTTAATGTAATTTTCACCTTATAAAGAACCATAGACTTTTAGACAAATAATTAAGATTATTTGGTGCTCAAAAGAGAAGGAAAAAAATATATATATATCAGATGAAAGGTGGGAAAAAATCAGGAAGGATGCTCTTTTTTTTGGCAGAGGTAGGTACCAGGGATTGAACTCAGGGACACTCGACCACTAAGCCACATCCCCAGCCCTAATTTGTATGTTATTTAGAGACAGGGTCTCACTGAGTTGCTTAGCGCCTCACTTTTGCTGAGGTTGGCTTTGAACTTGCCATCCTCCTGCCTCAGCCTCTGGGATTACAGGCATGTGCCATACCCAGCAAGGACGCTCTTTTCAGGGATAAAGAGTCATTGGATTGGACTGAAGTCATTGGATTGAAGGAAGGATCAGATTTTGACAAATGGAGGAGGAAACATGAGGGAAATGAAGGAAGGGGGTCTGAGAACATTGGTGGTTGAGAGTGGGGCAGGTTATGCAGGAAAGATCAGGCTTGTGGATACACCTGAAACCAGGTAAGGAGGGTGGGAGGGCATCTTCACAACCAGGGAAGAACCAAGGAGCCTTCACGAGACAGGAAACAGGATCAAAGCTGGAGACTACCCTGCAGCAATGAATGAGAAAGACACGCAGGGCCACAGGAAGCAGGGAGGCAAGGAACCTACGGGTCCAAAGAAGAGAACCAAACACCTTTTCCCATTCTGAAATGGTGTTAGGGCGGGTACTGGGGGTTTAGTCCAGGGGAGCTGTACTATTGAGCTCAGCCCCGACCCCCTTTTGTCTTAAGACAGGGTTTTGCTAATTTGCTTAGGCTGGCCTCCTGCTTTCAATCCTCCTGCCTCAGTCTCCCAAGTCACTGGGATGATAGTATGCCCAACAAAAGTGCTTAAGCATAAAACACAACACAAAAATTCCCAGGGAACACCATGTAGGTTAAGAAATAGAACATTGCCCCAGCTACGGGGGCATGCACACTTGTGATCCTGGTGACTCAGGAGGCTGAGGTAGGAGGATTGCAAGTTTGAACCCAGCCTCAGCCACAACCAGCTCTTAAAATAGTTTTTGAAGTTACAATAATTTAAACAAAACGATACCTACATAATAATAGATCAATGTAACCAGAAATATAAGCGAATACAGTGGCTTTCAACTGTTCTTTTAACCTAGTAACATCCTATGCTTGTATAATTTTGTCAAAATGAAATTCCACTGTCATGTATAACTAAGAAGAACCAATAAAATAAAACTCTTAAAAAGTAAATGAGAGCTTCCAAATATGAAAACAGTTTTTAAAAATTATTCCATCTAAAACGAACAAGAGGGGTGTGGGTTTTGCTTGGTTGAAAATCCCTTCCCTAGCAGGAGGCCCTGGGTTCAATTCCCAGCACTGACAATAAATGAATAACAAGAATAAACACATTATACGTTGATAAACAGACACTTATGACACAACTCTGTTTTTCAAAATAAAAAATAGTGAGCAGAGTAATGTTTTGCATTTTTGCAAATACCTTTAATATCTGCCTGAAGAAGATACTGTTTTATTTTGTTTGTTTTTCAGTACTGGGTATTGAACCCAGGTCTTCATGCTGGTTGGGCAAGCACTCTACCACTAGCTACATCCCCTGCCCTTTTAAAACAGGGTCTTGCTAAGTTGCCCAGGTTGGCCTTGAACTTGCTGGGAACACAAGTGCATGCCACCATACCCAGCCATACACCCCTTTTAATAGCCAGATTTTTTTTATTATTTGGTAAAATTTCTGATTTGAAAAAACACTAAAAGAAACGATGTATAGAAGTCCCCACATTAACAAAGTAAAAGGCGGACAAAATCATAATTGTCCCCTCAGTAGATCTGGAAAAACATTTGGGGAAATTCAATTTTAATGTTTTTAACATTAGAATTTAAAGAAGGAAAAAAAAACTCTTTGGGAAAACTCAGAGTAGAAGAGAATTTGTCCAACTTAATAAAGAAAATCATCAAAACCTGAAGCTAACCTCATGTTTTATGGTAAATTTTGAACACTTCTTCACTAAGATGAGGAACAAGGCAAGAATTCTCACACTCACCAGTCTGTGTCCCATGAACTAAACTCCTAGCCAATACAAAGGGCAAGAAAAATTATTAAAAGTCCCTTGGATTAGAAAAAAAATTATTCACAGATGACATGATTTTATACATATATAGAGAGAAAATCCAAAGGAATCTGAAAAAACTAATAGATTATGAGAATTTAACAAGGTCATAAAGTCAACATACTATCAATAAACAATTAGAAAATCAAATCAAAGATATCACTTACAGATATCATCAAAAACATAAAATACTACGACAGATAGGGCGGTGTGTACCTATAGTCCGAGCTACTTAGGCTGCTGAGGTAGGAGGAAGACTTGGGTACACAAACTGGATCCCAACCAGGGCAACACGGTGATACCCCAATCTCAAATAAAACAAAACAAACAAAAAAACATAGAATAGGAGGGAAAAAATAACAAAAGGTGTGTAAGAACTCTACACTGAGAACTATAAAACATCATTGAAAGAATTAAAGATGCTCTAAATAAATAGGGGAGATATAAAATGTTTATGGATTAGAATACTTACTATTACTAAGATGTAAATTTTTATTAAATTATTTTACATATTCAATGCAATCTTACTCAAAATTCCCACAAAACGCTTCTTTGTATCTATTGTTATTTTATTATTTATTTATTTTTGGTACTAGAGATTTAACCCAGGGGTACTTTACCACCGAGCTACATCCCCAGCCCTTTTTGTTTTTTTTTATTTTGAGAAAGGGTCTCACTAAGCTGCTGAGGGCCTCACTAAGCTGCTAAGAATGGTCTCAAAATTGGGATCCTCCTGCCTCAGGCTCCTGAGTTGTTGAAATTATAGGTGTGAGACACTGTGCAGAGCTGCAAAGCACTTTTATAGAAACTAACAAAGTGATTGCAAAGTTTATGTGAAAATGAATAAGACCTAGAAGCCAAAAATACATTGATAAAAGAGAACAAAGTGGAGGACTTAACAGTACCTTATTTCAAAACCATTTTAAAACTACAATAATCAAGAGAGCAAGGCATTGGTGTAAGGAAAACAATAAGCAATTAGGACAGAATCGGGAGCCGAGGAATAGATTCAAAGTAATTTTACAATTAGAAAAATTGAATTGTAGTTGAAAATTTTAATTGTAGTTGAAAAACTGAATATCCATATGGGAGGCGCCTTAACCTGAACTTCACATATGCCAGAAAAAAGTAATTCCAAGTGGATCATATACATAAAAACACAAAAGTAAAAAAATAAGGCTTCTATAGGAAAACATAGAGCACCTTCATGAGCTTACAGTAAACAAATACTTCTTAGCCAGGACACCATTAACTGTAAAAGAAAAGATTGACAAATTTAACTTTATCAAATTTGCAAACATTTTTTCTAATCAAATGATACCTTTAATAAAATTACTAGGTTTAGCTGTAGACAGAGAGAAAATATTTACAAAATCATAACCCTGAAGAAAAGACACATATTCAAAAATAAATAAAATTTGAAAACATCAATTAAAGAGGAAACACGACAACCTAATTTTTTAAGTTTACTAAGACAGACCACTCCGTTCAAACACAAATTATTGCGAGGTGGAAAAATCCTGAAGAATGTAAAAACCCCAAACCAAACCAAACAAAATACAACTACACTCAAGGACAGAAGAAGCTACAAATGCCAAGAAGCACATGGCAAATGCTGAACATGCATATTTGACCTGGAAATGCAATTTAAACTCACTGTGAGACACGACTATCTCGCTTTAAAATGTCTAAGACTTCTAAGAAGGGACAGTGACAAATGCTGGCAAATCTGAAGCATCTGGACCCCTCATACATAGATGCAAATGAAGGGCTGTGGCTCAGCTGTGGAGTGCTTGCCTAGCATGCCTTAGGCCCTGAGAAAAAGAACAAAAATGATACATTCACCTGCAAAGTAAGAGTTTCTTATAAAGCTAAATCTACACTTACCCTATGACTCAACAATTCTACTGCTATGTATTTACCCTAAAGAAATAAAACTATGTTCACAACTGTATTCTTTTTTTCTTTTCTTTTTGGATCAGGGATTGAACTCAGGGGCACTCGACCACTGAGCCACACCCCCAGTCCTATTTTGTATTTCATTTAGAGTCAGGGTTTCACTGAGTGGCTTAGCACCTCGCCATTGCTGAAGCTGGCTTTGAACTCTCGATCCTCCTGACTCAGCCTCCCAGGCTGCTGGGATTACAGGTATGCGCCACCGTGCCCAGCACAACTGTATTTTTAATAGCCCATTTGGAAATATCCCAAATGTTCATCAAAGGAATGAAAAAAAATTATGATGTAGTTTTACAATGGAATAATCCTTAATAAAAAGGAACACAATGTATTGATACACTCAATAGTATGCATGAATCTCAAAAACACTGTGTTAACTGAGCAAAAAAAGCCAGATACTAAAGAGTTATATTGTATGATTTCATTTAAATCAAGTTCAAGAGCAGCCCAAAGTAATCTGTGCTGATAGGAATCTGGATGGTAGTTGCCTTTAGGGCAAGGGTTAGATTAGGAATTGACTGGAAATAGTCAGAAGGAAATATTCTGGAACTGTGGATATGTTTTGTATCTTGATTGGAGTAGTTATTGAATGGACATATGCATTTGTTAAAAGCTTATTAAACTACACAATTAAGATGTGTGTTTTATATAAATTAAAATTCAAGAATTTTAAATTATAAGTGAGGAGAAAGTATTTGCACTATATATAATAGATGAAGATAATTAATAGCCCTAATATGTAAAGAACTTTATAAATCAATGAAAAAATACAGGCCAGTAGAAAACTAATTAAAATCATGAAGTGATGAGTTTTTCAGGAAAAAAAAAATGCATGGTAAATAGTTCATTAACTATTTGACTTTGTTATTATCAGAGAAATTTAAAGATATACTGTTTTACTACACAATTAACATTTTGCAAAAGAAGTAGTATTTCATGTTGGTTGGTACAGTAGAAAAGCAGCCAAAGAATGCAAGCAAATATGCAAATCAAAGTCACTTTTGGGACCATGTTTTGGAATCTTACATATGTGACTTCAACATGTTCATGCACTTTCTCAACCTAGCGATTTTAGTTCTAGAATTTTTATTCTAGGAAAACAGAGACTGAGGAAGATGGATGAAGGAGGAGGGATGAGTACAATGACCTTATGAATTAGGACAGCAAGTAAGACAGAGCCAAGAGGGATAGCCAGAGTTCAAGTGCATTGTACTCAAAGGTATCTAGGTATCTGCCAGATCAAAAATAAGAGTCTGAAGAGTCCATAGTCTCTCAAAAGTTAAAGACTTTTAAAAACCAAAAAACAGGTTGATGTGTCTGGGTAGGAGCTGCAGACATTGGTTAAATAGAGAATCACTGATACGGGCTAAGTGAGCCATGAGAGTGATCCATTTTTAAGTTCGATTTGATTTGGCTGGGTTGGTTTTTGTTGGTTTTGCAATACTAGGATTGAACACAAGGTGAGTCTCCACCATTGAGCTACAGCCCATTTTTAAGTTGTTCGGGCTCCAAAAAACTGTACTATAAAAAGGGAATTCAATAGGACCAGCCATTGACATAGAAAGACTTCCTCTAGTTCATCCTTCCAAGGTCTCTGGTGGCAAGTAACCTCAGGCACCTGTGAGAGTACCTTGACTTCCTTTAAACTTGAGGAAGAGTAATGATTAACTATTAAAAAAAAAAAAAAAACCTTAAGAGGATGAAATCATGAACTTAACATTTTGTTAAGAATAAATATGTACAAGAGATGATGAAACTTGAACTTAGATCATAGATAGGTACACCCTATGTTAAATTTCCTGATTTTGACAATACTATTATTCCGTGGTTAGATAATACAATGTCCTTGTTTTTAGGAAATTAACATTGAAATACTTAGGGAAACTTGGATATAGCATTTATAAAGGCAAGCTGTAGCTTATCTCAAAAATAATTCAGGGGAAAATTATTCACACACACACTTGCATACAATACACATGGAGGAGGGAGAATGATAAAGGAAAGGGAACAAAATGTGAATTTTTACAAATTTTCAATAAGTTTAAAATTATTATAGTGAAACTATATGTACATTAGAATAAAAAGTATATTCATGTTAAAGAGAGTGAAAAATTTACAACTGCCATTAGAAATGTATAACTGATTAATCAAATTAGAATTATGACATTAAATTAAAATCTTAGCTTTCTGGACAGAAAATTTTACATTCTTACAATATTTAAAAAATTAGTTCTCCCATGTTCATAAACTTAACATGTTAAATTTTAAAGTAATGCTCTAGTATTTCAGAAGATTTTGTTTGCTAATGTAGATGGGTGAAATAAAGTACCTGAACAGAAATCAAATGTAATATATTGATAAATGTAGTTTAAATTGTTTGAAGGTATTTTATTAAATAGGTTTGTTAATATAACCAAACATGGTTTGGGACTCTTAAAATTAATTATTAAAGCTGCTTGAATTATAAATATAATAAAACCTGTAAGCAAAACTTGAAAGTCTAAGAAATTTTGATTTTTTTAATATTTATTTTTTAGTTGTAGTTGGGCATAATATCTTTATTTTATTTACTTATTTTTATGTAGTGCTGGGGATCGAACCCAGGGCCTCACACATAGGTGCTAAGCAAGTGCTCTACCACTGAGCCACAACCCCAGCCCCGAAATTTTGATTTTTAAATTTGAAATTTTAAACATAAGACTATTAATCTGCTCAAGGATACCAAAATACTCGCATCATTGGGTGTGGCAGGGTTTTTTAAGCGCCTATAGATTCTTTCATACTTCTCTCATTGGGAGGTAGGGTTTGCATCCCCACCCCCTTGAATCCAACCAGACCACACATACCTGCATCAATCAACAGAGTGGTGACTTGTGACTTCCAAAGGCAAGTCACCAGAAACTATGTAGCTGCCTCCTATTCTCTTGGAATGCTCATCCTCAGGGCACTCCATTTTAGGATACTCCCCCAGAGCATGGCTGCCAAGCTGAGAGAGGTCTTTGCCCACTTGGAGAGGGCTTGGGAAGGTGTACACATTACCAACTGAGTCTAGCCTCAAGTCATTTCCAGCTAGACATCACACATAGGTGTTGTTATAGATTTTTTTTTTTTTGAATGTTGAAGGTTTGTGTCTCTCCTAAATTCATATGTTGAAGCCCTAGTGTGCTGAAATTTAGCAGGGGGGCCTTTGGAAAGTAATTAGGGTAAGATGAGGTCATGAGCAGGGAACTCCCCATAATGGGATTAGTGTAAAAAGAGAGAGACAGAGAGAGAGACCAGAGTGCTCTGTATCCCTCTACCTCCATACCCCTTCTCCCCCAGCCACACACCCCAATTTTCAAAGGCGTCATGTGAACACCCAGCAAGAAGACAGCCATCTGCCAGCTAGAACAGAATCTGCTGGCATTTTGGGCTTCCCAACCCCCAGAACTGTGAGAAATAAATATTTTCTGTTTAAGTACCCAAGCTGGGGTATTAGGTTATAGCACCTTAAAATGACGAAAACACAAAGGAGCCTCCAGATGATTCCAGCCCCTTACTAGTTCAGACACCTAAGTAATTTTCTAAGCTTTCCAGCTGAGACCTCACACATCTTGGAGCTGGGACAAACATTACTTATTTTCCCGTCAGAATTTCTGACTCATAAAATCCTTGAGCATAATAAAATTATTGATGTTTTACGCCACTAAGTTTAAGGTGTTCTGGTATGAAGCAACCACCAAGTCAGGTTGTTACCAAAGGAAAGATTATCTAGAAATTGTTTTCTGAGCTGATTAGATTTAAAGGCATTAATGAGCCCATTATTTATTATAAATAATAACTATAATATTAATAATAATAACAGCCCTCTACTACCAGCAGTCTTAAAAAAAAAATCCACTGGCAGCTCATGGCATGCAGTAGCAAAATAGAAAGACAGGCTTTGGGTGATCAATAGTTGCTATCAAAGGACTCTGTAGTGATATAAAGAAGTACAATGGGGTTGGCCGATTGTTTGTAAGTGCACTTGAGAACTGGAGAAAAGAAACCATCCCCACGCAAGTCTTTGAATTCCTAACTGAAAGTTCTGATAAGGGAACAGAAAGCCTCTGTCTTCCATAAAAAAAATAAAAATCCTTTTATTCTATTGTCAGAAGGCTGAAAATTCTGAAAAGCAAAATCTAATTCTGTGCATGGGTGAGTTAAAATGAAAATATTGCACAGACCTTTATGTTAAAGTTGGGGCAATGACTGGGAGGGACTAGGACCTTGAAAATTGAAATGGGGACATATGGGTGGTTCCCAAGAAAGCTGGAGACTTTAAGCCCCTAAATGCGCTAAAGCTTCCTTACTAGAATCAGCCCTTCCACCCCTGAAGAGGTTAGACTCCCCTGGCTCAGATATCTCCCAGAGAGTCACAGACCTGTCTCTACTACCTCTCTTTGCTTCTACGCCAATTACCAGGACCAAATCCCAGATGCCATCGAGGCCTTCCTTAGACTTTTTCTGCCACATTGCTTAATGCTTAATCTGTATAAGAAACCATTTATTCTATGTATCACTCATGGTTCTGCTTCTCTAATCCACTCCTGACCAATTCGTTAAGCATAGGAGAGTTAGTCAGAAAAGTTCATTTAATGAGAGGAGAAGTACAAAGGAAGAAAAAAAAATAGGCACCTAGACATAAAAGAGTACCATGTTGTAAAGTCAATTAAGAACTGGTTCTTTCACATGGGTCACTTACGTCTTTTGGAGGAACATAGTTAGGATCTATGCCTTTGGCAATTGACAGTCGTAAAATCCGGGGAGAAGGATCAGGTATTTGAAAAGAACTTCTTACTACATTATCGTGGGTGGACCTATATGCAAATGGAAATGTAAAATGTCATATCTATTGAATATGGGGACAATAATTGAATTTGTCATTGCTATAATCAACTTCCATTCAACGTTTCCATCTTAGGAACACCTAAGATGTTTCTTTTCCTGTAATCAGAGTGCTCTTTCAGATTGGTGTTTCTCAAAATTTCTTTACTATAATCCACAGTAAGAAGTATATTTTATCTTGTGATACACAGTATGTACATGTGGGTTTGTGTATATAAAACAAAATCTGAATTTCTGGTATGATATTAAATAGAAATGGTGAAAACTCACAATCTTGTATTGTTCTGATCTTAGGGATAAAGTATTTCACCATCAATTGTATTTGTGGAGGCATTTTTACTTATGTCCTTTATCAAATTAAGTATATTCCATTCTATTCCTAGTTTATTGAGCATTTTTATTATGAAAGTGTGTTAAATGTTGTCAAATACTTCTTCTTGGTGTACTGAGATGATCATGTAGATTTTTTTTCTTCTACCAATTCAGTGTATTACATTTATTTTATTGATTTTATCATTTTGAACCCAACGTATTATTCTTACTTTCTGGGATAAAACAATCTTAAGAAGCACAATTTTTTATTCCTTTATTTTATTTATTTACTTACTTATTTATTTTTATGTGGTGTTGAGGATCAAACCCAGGGCCTTGCATGTGCTAGGTGAGCACTCTACCACTGAGCACAACCCAGCCCAAGAAGTACAATATTTTTATATATTATTGGATTTGATTTGTTAGTATTTTAATGTGAATTGTTGCATGAACATTTGGATTTGATTTGCGGTTTTGGTTTTGTGGTTTTGGTGTGGATCTCTGCATATATATTCACAAGAGATATTAGGTTTAAAATATATAGTAGGGGCTGGGGCTGGGACTCAGCAGTAGAATGCTTGCCTAACATGTTAGACACTGGGTTCAATCCTCAGCACCACATAAAAATTAATAAAATAAAGGTATAATGTTCATCTACAATTAAAAAATATATATACTTAAAAATATATAAGACTATTCTGGTTTTGTATGAGGATGATACAAATATAATAGAATGAATTAGGAAGTGTCTTACTTTGGGGAATGAACTGAAGAGTATGATGTTAATTCTTCTCAAACATGTAATAGAATTCACCAATGATTCATTTGCATGTAATGGAATTACTAGTCCTGGGTGGTTCTTTGCAGGGAGGATTTTGAAAACTATTCATTTGATTTCCTTTACTGTTGATGAGTCTGCTGAGATTTCCTATTTTTTCTTGAGTCGTTTCAGTAGTTTGTTTTTCTAGGAATACGTCCATTTCATCTAGACTATCTAATTTGTTAGCCTCGTAATTGTTCCTAGTAATCCCTTATAATCTTTCAATTTCTATAACATCAGAAGTCGTAACTCCTTGTAATAACCCCTTAGAAAGGTTCTTATTTTCCCCCTGATTTTACTAACTTCAGTCTTCTTTTTGTCTTGATTAAACTAGCCAAACACTTGTCAATTTTGTCAATTCCCAAAGAATCAACTTTTGGGAGGGGGGGAGTTGTCATTTTTCTCTTTTTCTAATCACTATTTCATTGATTTCCACTCGATCTTTATTATTTCCTTACTTCTTTATGTTTAGAGTAAGTTTGCTTTTCTTTCTAATTTCTTGAGGTGAAGTTATGATTTGAGATCTTTTTATACCTCTTATGAATATACATACATACAGAGATCCATACCAAAACATCAGCAAACTAAATTCAAATGTACATGCAGGATTGACATCAAAATACTAACCAACCAAATCCATTAAAATATAAAAAAAATGTGCTTCCTGACCAAGTCTGTTTATGCTCCACCCCCTCTTTGTGCTCTTCTAAAATACACTGTATGTCTATCAACACAGGACTATACTTTTTGTTTTATGCAGCTGCCCTTCAATCATGCAAGAGAATAAAGAATTATAAACAAAAAGTACATTATAATGCCTTTTATATTTAATTAATTTTATTTATTGACACTTCTTATGTAAATTCAAGTTATTATCTAGTGTCTGAAAAGACACTTGAGGGACTCTAATATTTCTTATATAGCAAGTCTGCTGGTAATTAAATCTCAATTAAGTTTTTATCTTGAAATAGCTTCATTTCTCTCTCTCTCTCTCTCTCTCTCTCTCTCTCTCTCTCTCTCTTTTTTTTTTTTTTTTTTTTTTTGTGTGTGTGTGTGTGTCGGGATACTGGGGATTGAACTAAGGGCACTCAACCACTAAGCCAAGTCCTTTTGTATTTTATTTAGAGACAGGGTCTTAACTGAGTTACTTAGAACCACGCTAAGTTGCTGAGGCTGACTTTGAACTTGGGATCCCCCTGCTTCAGCCTCCTGACCTTCATTTTCTTTTAAATATATTTTTTAGTTGTAGATAGATCTCAAATCATAACTTTACCTTCTTCCTATTCTTCCTCTTTTAGACACAATACCTTTGCTTTATTCATTTTTATGCGGTGCTGAGGATAGAACCTGGTGCCTCACACATGTAGGCAAATGCTCTACCACTGAGCTAAAACCCCAGCCCTGTCCTTCACTTTTGAAGGACAGTTTTGCTAGATAGACTGTCTTGGCTTGTGGTCTTTTTCTTTCACCACTCTATGTCTCCCACTGCCTTCTAATCACCATGACTTCTGATGAGAACTCATTCATGAACCTTATTGTAGATCCTTTGTATGTGATGATTGGCTTCTCTCTGGCTGCTTTCAAGACTCTTTTTTTCCTTGGCTGTTGAGTTTGCTGATGATGTGGCAAGCTGTGACTCTCAGAGTTTTTCCTCTTTGGAGCTTTTGTTGAATTGCTTGGATGGCCATGTTTTTCATCAGACTTCGTACGTTTGGGACCATTGCTTTCTTCATATATTCATTCGGACTCTTTATTTCTCTCCTCTCTTTGTGAGATTCTCCTTGTGGCTCTGTTGATTCACTTGATTGATGGTGTCCCACACGTCTCTGTGGGGAGCCAGGAATGAATTGTGGGCTTGTCTGAGCCATCTTTAAGCAGAGGTGTGCCCCTCAGAGAATTCTCGGTGTCATCCCACCAATGCTGCGTTGCCTTGGCAACGTCCTGCTCAAAGAGAATTCTGTGATACCCCAGAATTTATTGGCTCAGACAGCCCTAGGTTCACTCAACTCCCAGAGGTACAGAGAGATATCAGAGAACCCAAACAGCCTGGAGGCACCAGCAGCCAGGAGGAAGAATTAGTGTGCAAGTGATGGGTCTCCAATCAGGCCAATTTCCTACAGCCTCTTGCTTCTTATTTATCTTGAAAAAGTTTTTCTCACAATAAATCTGCCTTTGATGTGTTTCACTACAAATAAACACTCAGGCTCTTTTCCCTTTGTTAGGATGGACCCATCAGGTCTTTTCTACCCATCAATCCCCTCCTTTAACTATATTTCTTATGTCCTTTGTCTTTCTTTTTTTTTCTTTAACAATAAGTTTCCTCTTTCTTTCTTTTTTAGTTGTAAGTAGACACAATACCTTGATTTTATTTATTTATATGTAGTGCTGAGGATGGAACCCAGGGACTCACACATGCTAGGCGAGCGCGCTCCCACTGAGCCACAACCCCAGCCACATCTTTATTTCTTAATACTATTTTTTCAGCCTTTTATTTCCAGCCAGCCCACACCTCTGCCCAGTTTACTTATTCCCTTCCCGTGCAGGTAGGGATGAGCAGTCTCTGAGCCTCTGTTCATTTTACTTCATTCTTTTCTGTTGCTCAGAACTGATCATCTCAAATGACCTATCTTCATGTTTGCTGATTCTTTCTTCTGCCTGCTCAAATCTGCTGGTGAGCCTTCTAGTCCATCAGCCCCTCTAGTGCCTCAGAGCCCAAGCTTGTGTAGCAGTACATTTTTTTTTTTTTTTTTTGGATATCCCTGTATCTCCACTAGTCTTTGGATTAGCTACAGTTTCTGCTTTGTTTGCTTTCATACAACAAACTTGAAGGTCAAATAAGAGATTGGTTAGAGAACAATGCCCCCCTCCCACTCCAATTTCCATTCCTGGAAAGCTATTCAGAAAGACTTTTCTAAAATTAGCTGACATCTGCTGTAAATTCCTTCTTGTACTGAGATGGATATAAATTAACTTTCCTTCTTCCTCTTCTTCCCATTCTCCTTCTTTCATATGCCATCCTTTTTATACACTTCAACAGAGCTATCCCTGTTTCCTTGGTCTCTTCTCTTAGCTAAAAATGTCATTTCTCTTAACTATTTTTCATATAACAGTTTCTAGAAGCCTCGACATCTCATTTACCTCCTTCTGAACAGTCTCAATGTGTTGCATCTTCTTAAGGCATAACATTGACACTGGTTACAGAGACCCAGTGTGTCCTAACCACTGAAGCACACGAATGCATTGTTGCCTCCCCACGTCTGCACACCGAACATATTCCACTAGTGCAATCTGATGTTGAAGTACCTTTTCCAACAACCATATCACAATCAGCTGGGGAAGGCAGCTCCTAAGATGTCTTTTAAGGAGAAGGCGAAATTCATCATTCAAAGCAAAAGTAAAAGCATGTGCCAAGTCAGCAAGATGTAAAAGAATATCAAGTTCTGCAAAATGCAGAAGCCTGTGATGTTCATTTGCTGATTTCCCTTTTGGTTTTATTCTGATTTTGTGGCACTGGATGACCAAACCCAGGGCCTCATAAATGCTAGGCAAACACTCTACTCCTGAAAAATTTCCTTTTAATTGACCTAACAATGATAAAGTCTAATATAAATTTTAGCTTCACCACAATTTGAGTCAAGTGTAATTATTGATGATAATCTTCAGATTAGCTACAGTTTCTGCAAATATTTGGCTTTTTTTTTTATCTGATGCTTTGGAAAACAAATGGACTTTTAGCTCATGAAATTGCACACACTCAAAAAACTACACATATTGAAATTAGAACAACAGTATTGTGACATTTAACTAGATTGACAGGATTTAGGGAGATTCTCAAGATACCCTACCGACTTAGTAGAGACTGTCTTTTGAATCTGTTGGGCTGTGCCAGCTTCTGGGTCCTTTTGGAGGGCTGGGTAAACAAGGCAGATGGAGGTATCTTCCAAATTACAGACTCTCTTCCACAACTGTAGTAATATTGGGGCCTGCAAGTTGTATAAGAGAAATGAGTGAAATAGGCATGAATTCAGATCATCACATTATTTTTCAGCTTTGATCCCCAGACCTAGAAGAGCAGGTATGACAGTATTTAGGATAAATAATAATATTGTTCTTATTACCCCTGCCTCTTCGTCTTTTCTTAATCAAAATATATCATCAGTGGAAAAGGAAGTGATCCTGACTCTTTCCGGCCATGGGTTAACTCAGACTGCAGCGTCTCTTCTGATTCTATTCTTTCTCAGAGCACCTCTGTTTTTTTAAGAAAGGGATCCTTGTCCCTCTGCCCACGCCTCCGTCTACTTGCTGCTGCTGTGGGCCTCAGCCTCTGTGTTAGCCTGCATCTCCTTCCTTGTGACCCTTCTGGCTTAAGGCTGGTCCATACCTGCATCTGTTTTCAGGGGCCTGACAACTGCCAGACCTGAGTCCATGATTGCTGAACTACCCAGCCCCACCCCCACCCCCACCCCCACACAGCTGAGTTCAAACAGGCAAGGAGCTTCTAGCACTTACCTGGGTTATCTTGGGGCAGGAAATAGCAGTTCAGTTTGGGAATCAGAGAAACAGAAGGAAGAGGTGGTTTTGAACAATGGGTCGCCTCAGACAGATTAGATTCAGGTAAGGGGACCACAGAGATTAGAAAAAAGAGGTCACTAGGCAGCCAATGAACAGCACAGAGGCCCGGACAGTGGGTCAGAGATGAAAAAAAATAAAATGGAGACAAACTCAATCACTCCACATTCCATCAGTGAGGAATGGAGAACACCAAATGCCATAAAAATGTGGACTGACCATGTGATCAACAACTAGAAGTACATGGGTGCCTTAGGAAATGGAGAAAATAATACATTTTATGTAGCTCTGAAGATTAAATAAGTAAAGTCATTTTATAATTTATAAAGTACTATTCAAATATGACTTTACTCATCAAATTGTGTATTAATTTCTCCCTATATATTAATTTTCTCCTTCTATTATATATTTTCTCCAATTATCATATTATTGCATATTAATGAAATGCAGTGCTACTAACATTCATGTGTTTTTCCTCCTCCTGTAATTTTCCACAAGACCTAGTCTTATAATGCCATCAATTATCAGGTACTCAAATATTATTTTAACATAGAGCATGCTGTATTTTTCTCATTGTAAAAGAAATAAACACTTATATATAATTATATTATACAAATATCTACACATATAATTACATATATATATTATATATGAGGATACTGGAGATTGAACTCAAGGGCACTCTAGCACTGAGTTACACCCCAATTCTTCTTCTTTTTTTTTAAATTATTTTTTAGCTATTGATAGACATTTAGTTGTTTGTTTGTTTGTTTATATGTGGTGCTGAGAATTGAACCCTGTGCTTCACACATGCTAGGCAAGTGCTTTACCACTGGGCTACAACCCCAGCCCAATATCCCAATTCTTTTTATTTTTTATTTTGAGACAGAGCCTCACTGTTTCCCAGGCTGAGCTAGAACTTGGACTCCTCCTGCCTCCACCTCTGAAGTTGTTGGTATTACAAGCACGTGCCACCATGCTTGGTTTATAATAGAAATTGTTAATGTGGTATATATACACAATGGAATATTACTCAGTCATTAAAAAAGAATGAAATTATGGAATTTGCCAGTAAATGGATGAAACTGGAATGTTAAGTAAAATAAACCAATCCCAAAAAACAAAAAGCTGATTGTTTTCTCTGATATGCAGATGCTAACACACAATAAGTGTGGAGAAGAAAGAATAAAGGATTAGACAAAGGGGAATGAAGGTAAGGGACAGAAATGGGAAAGGAAAGACAATAGAATGAATCAGACATCACTTTCCTAGGTTCATATACGAATACACACCAGTACAACATGACCTCCACATCATGTACAACCCACAAGAATGGGAATTTATACTCCATGTATATATAATATGTCAAGATACATTCTACTGGGACTGGGGTTGAAGCTCGGTGGTAGAGTTCTTGCCTCGCATGCGTGAGGCCCTGGGTTCGATCCTCAACACCACATAAAAATATTTAAATAAAAATAATGATATTGTTGTTCATCTACAACTAAAAAAAAATTAAAAAATACATTCCAAATGTCATGTATATCTAAAACAACAAATTAAAATTTTTTAAATAAAAAATTTTAAAATAATTTTTTTTTATTTCTTGAGAGAAAGAGTGCATACTAGCACACATTCAAAATAACAATGGGTAATATTTTGGAATAATTTTTATCCTTTTTCCCCTTATTCATATACTCAAAAAAAAAAGTTCTTATTGATCAACAGCCACAGTGTGAGATGCTAAGGGAAGAAAGAGTGAAGAACATGGAAACCTCTGTTCTCTTGGAGCTTGAGGCTGGAGTGATGAGAGACATTATTAAGGAGTCAGTCATGCAGCAGGAATGGAGGCGTCCCAGGCAGGCTTGTGAGGAAGGAAACTTAGTGTATTAGTCAGCTCTGCATCACTGGGACCAAAATACCCAACAAGAACAATTTAGAGAAGGAAAATTGCATTTTGGCTCATTGTCTCAGAGGTTCTGTCCATGGTTAGCCAATTCCATAACTCTGGGCCCAAGAGGAGGCAGAACACAGTGGTGGAGGAGTGTGGCAAGGGAAAGCAGCCCAGGAAATGACAACCCGAGGACAAAATATATACCCCAAAGGCACACTCCCAGTGACCTACCTTCCCCTGCCACTCCCCACCTGCCTACAGCTACCACTCAGTGAATCCATATCAGTGGATCAAACCACTGTTAGGTTAAGGCTCCCACAGGTGCAAAGAAACAGACCAAAAAGAATACCAATGTCTCAACAAAATCAATGGAGACGGTGAGGTAACATCTGTTAATATAGAATTTTATGACCAGCAGAAATACAGTTAAAAATGAAAGTGAAATAAGGAATTTTTCAGACACTCAAAAGCTGAAAGAATTCATCAGTAGCAGATCTGCACTTTCAGAAACATTAAGGAAAGTTTTCCAAAGAGCATAAATGATACCCAATAAAATCTAGATTCACCCCAAAGAATATAGAGTATGGGAAATGGTAAGAATGTGGGTAAACATAAAATGCCTTTTCTTGTTTTTCAAAATATCTTTAAAAGAGAATTTAATGTTTAAAGGAAAAATAAAAATGCATTGTGGGATTTATAAGATAATGCAGAGTAAAATACATGATGACAACAGCCCCGGGGCCAGGCAGGAGGAACAGGAGACATACCACACCACACAAAGCAGTACAACGTGAAGGTGCGTACTACAGAGCCCATGCAAAGTTCAAGATGTGTACTATGGATCCTGAAGTCATCACTATAAAACAAAAATTAAAAGCTGTAAGCTGGGCACCCTGTCACACACCTGTAGTCCCAGCTACCAAGAAGACCGAGGCAGGCCAGGAGTTCAAGAGAAGCCTAGGCAACAGAGCAAGAACCTATCTCAAAAATATTTGTGGTTCAAATATGACATCAAAAGAGGTAATAAAAGTATTTTGAAGCCAGGCATAGTGGTACATGCCTGTAATCCCAGCAACTCAGGAGGCTGAGGCAGGAGGATTGCAAGTTCAAAGCCAGCCTCAGCAATTTAGCATGGCCTTAAGCAACTCAGTGAGATCCTGTCTCTAAGTAAAATATAAAAAAGGGCTCACGGTGTGACTCAGTGGTTAAATGCCCCTGAGTTCAATCCCCAGTACCAAAGAAAGTATTTTGAACTTAATGAAAATGAAGACACAACATAGCAACATTTGTGAAATCCAGCTAAAACAGGACTTAGAGGAAAATACACAGACTAAATAACTATTAGAAAGAAGGAAAGGTCTCAAGTTAATGATTTCAGTTTCCACTTTAAGAAACTGGAAAAAGAAAAGCAAATAAAATCCAAAGTAATCAAAAGAAAGAAAATAATTTAGAGCAGAGAAGAAATAAATGGAATAGAAAACAGTAAAATAATAGAGAAATCAATGAAAAAAATAGATCAACCTGTAACCTAAATGATCAGCCAAAAAAAATCAAGTATAAAAAAAGTATTATATAAAGTATATATTGATTATCACAAAAAAATTAAGTAGACTATATATAAAATGCACACATATACATAGCAAAAAAAAAAGACCAGAAGGAAATATTAAAAAATTATCTGAATTATAGATCTATAGGAGATTTTTGTCAACTTTATTTTTTAAAATTTTTTTGTAGATGGACAGAATGCCTTTTTTTATTTGTATATGGTGCTAAGGATAGAACCCAGTGCCTCACACATGCTAGGCAAGCACTCTGCCACTGAGCCACAGCCTCAGCCCTATTTCCCTTTAAAACATATCTTTTTTATATAATAGGAAATTAAGTATAATAAGAATAAAAAACATGAAGCAAAATATGATACACAACTAACGTGTACTGAGTTAAATTCAATTGTAACATGTCACCAAAAATAATGGTAAAAAAAAAATTTTTTAAATAAATAAAACAAAAAAAATGGTAAGACATCATCAAACAGGCAAGGATTATTCATTATTCAAGAAGGAAGATGCAGTTAACAATGTACAACTGGAATTCTCTTGTTCAGACAAAGTAATTCCCCTTGAACCTGTTTTTTTTTTTCAAAAACCTTGTTGAAAAAAAGAAATTTCTTTGCAAAGCTTAGAATTGAACCCAGGCTCTCGCACAGGTTAGGTGAGTATTCCACCACTAAACTACATCCTGAACCCTCTTTCATGTTATTTTGAGTCAAGGTCTCGCTAAATTGCCCAGGCTGACCTCAAACTTGCCATCCTCCTGCTTTAGCGTCCTGAGTCGCTGGGATTACAGGTATGTGCCACCACACCCATTTTGAGTTCATATTCTTGAATAAACTTTTGAAAGCAAACAGTTACACCAATGATTGCACATTATAAATGTCATTCTGAAACAAGTATCTCATTCGACCAACATTTGATTAAAAAGGAGTCCTGTCCTGTTTTAAACATGCTGAGTGGGAGGTTTCCCTGGCTCCATCCCCCGGAGGATGCCCAGTACATCTGAGATAAGAGAGAGGAGTTGAAGATTTGGAGGCCATCGCCACACAATTAGAAACAAAGTCCATATGAAAGGACAGCCTTGGTCTTGGCAATTGTTTAGAGCAGAAAGAGAAAGAAGTCAATTGGGAAATGGCAGAAAAGAAAGAGGAACCCACCAAGGACGTTGAGAGGGCAGGCGAGGAAGATGGGAGTGCATCGTGGACAGACAGCATCTCCCAAGCAAGGCAAGAACTTAGAGAAAGGAGTGGCCTGTCCTCTGAAGTAGTCCCAACAGGTGACTTTGGACATACCTTCGACTTCTAATATGTCTTTAATACTAAAATTAGGGATCCTAACTTGAAAAACTAATGGCTTCTATAGATTCATCAAAGACATCTTGAAGATCTCGGGGCTCAATATATAGCTCAGTGGTAGAGCCCTTGCCCAGCATGTGCAAGGCCTAGGATTTGATCCCCACCACTAAAAGAAACTATTTTATAACACTGTTATTTTATTTTTTTTTTAGTTCTCATAAACCAAAGCATTATGAAATGTGATCCGAGTCTGGATCTTGCTCTGGAAAAGTTTGACTGTCACATGAGATTGGAAACAGACACAGTTTCACTAATCCTCAATACATTTTGATGGTAGATTGAACATTGCCGGACTCTTGGGAGAAAGGCCTGGGTTTTATGTTCATTTTCTTGAAGGAGTCATGGCAAAGTAACCTCATGACATAAACACCAACCTGTTAGGCACATAATGCTTGGAGACTGGCTTGGGATGAGCAAGGTCCTTGAGTCTTTTGGATGGCTGAGTCTTCAAAGCAGTCTCACGAATGGGGTAAATGGGATCTTGATTTCCCCAAAATAGTTTTCTGTTAAAATACACAAAGATAAAATGGTAAAAAAAAAAAAAAAATTCACTGAGAATGAACATTTTATACGTCGTAGCTCTTGACAAGTCTATGTGAGTTTTACTTCATTTCAAGAACTAGCCCCATCAAAGAACTTTAAAATTCCCAGTCATCAGAAAGAGAGAAATTATGGATATCAAAATAAGAATAAAATAAGACAATTTTGTCCACTATCTTTTTTTAAATTAATTTTTTATTTATAGATGACAGCAGAATATATTACAATTCTTATTACACATATAGAGCACAATTTTTCATATCTCTGGTTATACACAAAGTATATTCACACCAATTTGTGTATTTATACATGTACTTTGGATAATGATGTCCATCACATTCCACCATCATTTCTAATCCCTTGTCCCCTCCCTTCCCCTCCCCGCTTCTGCCCTATCTAGATTTCGTCTATTCCTCCCATGTTCTCCCTCCCTACTTGTCCACTATCTTAAAAGTGGTCACCCAAAATAACCTATTAGAGATAAGATAGTTCTGCTCCCGCCCTTGGGGAATCAACAGTCTAAGTTACAGTCAGGTGGGCATCAATTGGACATGCCCACCATCTCCACTGTGCTCCCTGTTGGGCGAAATCTTACACCAGGTAGTCAGATAATAGTCACAGAATAATGTTAATGACTATGATTTGTGTGATATTTACTGTGTGCCTGGAACTGTATTAAGTGCTTTACAGATATCAGTTCATTTAGTCTCAACAATCCTGTGCGCTAGCATGAAGGGGGGCGGGGAGAGAGCCAGCCAGACAGAAATGTATAGGATTAACCTGAAAAGGCTTCACAGAAGAAAGTTGAAGGGCACAGACTGCCAGAAATGAAGCATGTTCTGTGGCAGGAATGGGAATGATTGAGTCCTGAACTAGGAGTGTTCGGGTGCAAGTGGAGAGTCCTGCTGGGAAACAAGGAAGGAGCACTGAGAGGTTGGGTAAGATGGCAGAAGGCAGCCTAGACGGTCCCTTAGTAACCCGGCTTTGCCCATAACTGAATTGGCATTGGCTTGTGGCTCAGTACTTGCCTGGCATGTGTGAGGTCCTGGCTTCAATTGCCAGCACCAAAAAGAACAAAAAAAAAAAAAATTGGATTTGTCAACTGAGTCCATGTCTTTCAAAGTATCCAGGGTTTTTTTCCCCTACTCGCCTCAACTTTGTCTCTGATTTTGGATATGATCTTTTTTTTCTCCTCTGATCTGCAAACATTATCCAGAGTCATTTTAGAAACATCAATGCCCCCACTCCCTACATTCCGCAGATTCCATTTCAGATCTGTTGGTTTCTCCTCATCTCCAGCGCTGCTTCTCTTGTTCATATATCCATCATGCCCACTTCTTTCTCCACACTAATGCCAGAGTGATCTTTGTAAACACAAACCTGATCGAGATACTGCCTTGTTCAAGACAGTGCAAAGGTTTCCAGTGACTAGACTGAAGCCCCAACCACCTTGCCTTGCTATGGCTTCCAATGCCCTCCTCAGTTGTGATCAACAGCGTCCGCCCCTCCAGCCCACCTGTTCTTCCAGCTCCTGTCTTCAACTCTTGGAGATTTTCTCTTGAGTAGTTGATTGCTACTCACTAGAGTTTCTCAACAAAGGTTTTGGGTTTTTTGGGGGGGCGGGAAGGGTTAATGGGGACTGAACTCAGGGGCACTTGACCACTGAGCTACATTCTCATCCTTTGTTGTATTTTATCTAGAGACAGGGTCTCACTGAGTTGCTTAGATCCTCGCTTTTGCTGAGGCTGGCTTTGAACTCATGATCCTTCTATCTCAGTCTCCTGAGCCGCTGAGATTACAGGCATGACCCTGTGTCCGTTTCTCAATAAAAGTTTGGGGCTGGAGATATAGCTCAGTTGGTAGAGTGCTTGACTTGCATGCACAAAGCCCTGGGTTCAATTCCCAGCACCACAAACAAAAAAGTCTGTGAATTTGGCATGGCGAGGTTGCACACACCTCGGGATGCAGCTCAGTAGGCAAGGGCCCCTGAGTTCAATCCTTAGTGCCAAAAAAAAAAAAAAAAAAAGTTTGAATGAATGCATGGTGAAAACTGGAGATTCAACTGATGGTGTCATGCAGCAAGTACTGGGGAAGAGAACCAGGGCCAGAAAAAGGGGAGCTGCAGTGGAAAGGATGGGAAAACTACAGAGACAGTGAATAGATCCGTGGTTGCCAGGGTTTCAGAGAGTGGGGAGGAAGGAAAAAGAATAACTGAAGAGAGCACAGAGGAGTTGAGGGAAGTGGAACCATTCTGTATGATACTGTAAAGGTGATCCATGACATTATGTGTTTGTCAAAACCCATAAAAGAATTCAACACCAAAAGTGAACCCAATATAAACTATGGACTTTAGTTAACGATAATGTATCAATACTGGCTCATGAATTGTAACAACTGTAAATGTGAGATATGAATAATAAGGGAAACCAAGGTAAACCTGGGAACTCCCTATACTTCCTGCTTGATTTTTTCTGTAAATCTACCTTCTCTTAAAATGCCAGGCTTTATTCAGGAGCCAGAGAAGAAAAAGGGGATTCCTAAAGCCAAGCATGGAAGGGTGGAAGGTCCAGCCTGCCGGAGACCCAGAGAACAGGTGTGTTCCAGGCAGAGGCTTGGAGACCCCAGGACTGGGTGGTACAGGCTACAACTATGGATCTGCAGGATGGACACAAAAGTGTCAAAGGAGCATGGAGTCACACTCTGGGCAGTGAATCTCAAAACATTCTGCTTTTTAGAGTCATCTGGGGAGCTTTTAACACTCCCACAGCTGTACCCTAGACCAATTCAGTCAGCATTTCTGGGGATGCCATGGAGGCAACCATCAGTATTAAAGCTCCTCAGGTGACCCCAATGTTCAAATTTGGGAATTGCTGGCCACAGATTAGCCCGAGATGTCACATGCTGAATCAACCACGGTGACGGTATTGGCTCAGTGGATCCAGTTAGGTAGAGGTGAGTGGATCCACCTGGGACACAGGATTAGTGGCAGAGTAGGATAAGACTTATCTACTTGATGTAGCAAACACAATCATATCAAACAAGACCATAGAATAATGTCTTACCTATCTGGAGTTCCCCATTGTTTTTTGGGCTCAGAAAGATCTTGGATTCTCCTTCTAGAAAGAATACTAACAAATACCAGCGGATTAATTTAAAAAGAATGCCAAAAAATACAGTTACATTACATGACTCCTACTCAAGGAAATCTGTCTGTTGGGGAGGAGGGGAAATAATGCTACACTTGAGATGGTTTGAAGAGTGTAGAAGGATCCCAAACTACTATGGGCTCAAGATTCTCACTTGTAGAGTCATTAATATAGCACACATAATAAATTAAAGACAATAAATATACAACATAACAAAGAGCCTATAGGCTCCAGAAGATCCTAGGTAAAAATCCATACTTGTTAGTAGAAAAAAAAACTGCATCTAGCATATTAAGTTAATTTGTAGATGGACTGGAAGCACAGGATGGTGAAGAGATTGTACAGGTAAATTTCAGACAGGATGTCTGTCCACCTCTGGCAAATCTATGAAATGGACAAAATACACTTTTGGTACCACTCAACCCTCTTCATGTCCCACTCTGTTCTCTTAACCTTCCTGATCATTCTTTTTCCAGCTGTGGCAGAGTAAGTTGGGGTTCTCTAAGTATCTATAGGTTTCCATACATTCCCAACCCTTCTTTGCAGTTGTTTGGAGTCACGTAACTGGTCATGTCTAACTTCAATAGAAGTGTTGGGTATCACTTCCAGTGTACTCCCCCACTCTCTCTCTCCTTGTTGCCATGACCCTGGAAGTCATGTATTCTGGTTAGCAACAGAGCTACAAGGTAGAGGAGGACCAACTAATTCACACTATAGCATAAGGGAGAAATAAATTTCTTTTTTTAAAAAAATATTTTTAGTTGTATGTGAACATGATATCTTTATTTTTTATGTGGTGCTGAGAATTGAACTCAGTGCCTCACATGTGCTAGGCAAACACTCTACCACTGAGCTGTAACCCCAGCCTGAAAAATAAATTTCTGTTGTGTTAATGTTAAGTCATGGAGAGTTTTGCATCTTGTTTGTTACTGCAGCATTGCCTAACTAATGCAGACTATATACCTCCCATGTTACTGAAGTTCATATTATAATTATTTATGTACTTGGTTGGAGTTTGAAGGGCCCAATAACAAAATCCTTTTTGTCCACCACAATTAGGAGCCAAAAGAAAAATAGGTACAGGATTTGGACAAATAGAATAAAAATACTATCACTATTATCAATAAAATTGGGTGGAAGAGAATAGTTTGGATCCCTGACATACTGAATTGAATGTAGGTCCCAGAGCTTCAGGCTATTCACTGCAGGGGCAAAGCTTGCTATGTGATAGAAAGCAGATCACAAACATTACCACTGTCGATAGGTCCCAGAGAGAGGTCTCAGAAGAGTCCAGTTCTCTTCTCCAAATCCATTAAATTGATGTCACTCCCACACCTGAGAAGTTTAATTCATAGGTGAGGAAATAGGCCAAGTGAATTAGCCCAAGGAAGAGCTTTGATGGACAGTTGATGGGAAAAGCTCTCCAATACTTGCCTGAGCTCTGTCATAGGCTACAAACTCTCCATGTTAAAATAAATCCTGGTCCTGGTCAGGTGGGATTTGGTTGATGACATAGCTCCTACAAACCCTTATGTGAAGAAATACCTCCTTATTAAAAGTCATTTGATATACCACGGACCTCCTTTCAGAAAATGGGAAGAGTCAAAGGGGGAGTAATAGTCAGCAACTCCCAAGATTGCACATTCACGAAACTGAGCCATCCAGTCTGCAGAACAAGCTAAAATCCATTAATCCAATTATCTATTTCCAAATTGTCTTATTTTCAAATTATATCCTGTCCAAAATTTACCAGTATAATCTCTTCACAATCCAAGGCTAACAATCCATCTATAAATTAACTTAATAGGCTAGTTGCAGGGTTTTTTTCCAACTAACAAGTATGTATTTTAGCTAGGGTCTTCTGGAGCCAACGGGCTCTTTGTTATGTTGCATATTTATTGTCTTTAATTTATTTTGTGCTGTATCAATTTATTATTTATTATGTACTATATTACATGGAGCTCTCATATACTGCCCCTTGGTCCATAGTAGACTTATTTCATCTATAGCCTTGATTTAGTTATGCTATGGGAATTGTATAAGCAAGAACTCCAGGCTGGGTTTGTGGCTCAGTGGTAGAGCGCTTGCCTAGCATGTGTGAGGCACTGGGTTCGATCCTCAATACCACATAAAATATAAATAAATAAAATGAAGTTATTATGTCCATCTACAACTAAAAGAAATATTTTTTTTAAAAAAAGAATCTATGTGTAAACCAGTTCATAATATTAAGAGTGGAACATCCCCTAGAAGCCAGCAAGGTGGTAGCAATGACAAATCTCAGGGACATGGGATTAGTCCAACAATTCTCCCAAACCTTGGAGATTCTGGGTTTAATTTTAATAGGAAGTTCCATCTTTAAATTATTTTTTATTGAGACATAATAGCTGTACTTCTTTATGGGGTACATTATGGTACTTTGGTATATTCGTAAAATGTGTAAATCATCAAATCAGGCTACTAAACATTTCTCACTTTCCAAATGTTAATCATTTTATGTGTTGGAAATTTCATATCTTCTGATCATTTGGAAATACATCATCAATCGTTTTAACTAATAATTACTTAGACTGTGTCATCCAATTCCAGAAGGAATTCCCCTCCTCTGTGTTTTGGTGCCCCTTATTGTCATTTTCTGCTCTTTAGGTGAATACTTCATTCTTTGAGCTTTATTCATTCAATACATGTTCCAGTATTTGCCAAGAACCCAGTAGTGTTCTAAGGCTAGTTGTACACTGGTGAATAAAACAGACAAAAATCAGTTTCTTTCTCCTTTCTCGCCTGCATCCCATACCACAATATCTTGTATTTAGTAAGTGCTGATTGGATTAAAGTGAACTGGTTTTTAATTGTTTGAAATATAACTTTGTTAAGGGTTCTATAAGGAAAAATCATGGAGCTCTCAACCCTATATAGTGATATAATTAAGACAGTTTAAATTGTTCTATTGATCCAAGACATTGCTAGATAAAATACAAACTAGAGAGTAGTAAAAATGGTGAGCCACTTCCACCCCAGCTGCTCAAGCCCTTTCTTACCAATATCACTCTCTGAACTTTCCTAACTTCCCCCTTTTCGATTCCAACTAACCTGTCTGCACATTAGTCTCTTAGGACTCAATTTCAGGTTTCCTAGCTAGAAGTTCCCAAATCCTTATGGGATATAATCCCCCTAAGGGTAATATTGGGAGTCTAGAATCTTTAGATCATCTCAAAAAGTCAAGTAGAATCCTATATTATCCACAAAGAGACTGCAGAGGCTACCCAAAATACCAAATCTGTTTCTGAATTATATCCTCTCCATGTTATTTCATACTGACAGTAACCTCTAACATTTATGTGTCCTTGTTTTTTTTTTGTAATTGTTCTGTGAACAATGACCATTTAAAAATTATATATATATTTCAAAACATGTGATCGTAGTTGTGGACAATTAACCCAAAGATTCTTTGACTGTGAAAAGTTTAGCATCCCTTATGTAACTGATAGAATGCAACCTCCTAGCCACGCCTAGTCATGTTCATCTAGAAACAATGAAGACACTGTTCATTGCCAGAAAGAACACTCCTGTCCTCATTCAACAGAGGAGCGGTTTTGCCACGCAGGTACCAGGTAATCCCCAATGGGAAAGCCTGGGGCAACTTTCCAGGGAGGCTCAGGGCAGCCAAAAGCCAGAGTTGCAGACAAAACATCTTATTATATGTTCAGCTTTTAAAGCAATTTAGCTTCTGACTTCAGACATCCTCCCTGGTCCAAGATTTCCCGTTACCTTCTTTTCACCAGCAAAATAAGAGGTTTTGAGTTTGTTTGGTTTTTTTTTTTTTTTTGATGCAGCCTTTTATGCAAGTCTATTGACAGTTTCCTAGTTGTTCCTGTAGACAGTTAAATTGGGTTGTTATTTCAATGGAAAATGATCTAACATGGGTTTCCCTTCTCTCTTGGGAACTGCATTACCTCATAGTGTCTTTTTAATGAGGATTATTACATTGCTGTCCCCTTTCTGCATTGATAATTAGTCTCCTATGGCTTGTCAATAGCTAAGGAAGTTGATTTTTGTAACCTTTACTTTGGGTGCCTAGAAAAAATACATGTTTGTAGAACAACCATTATGGAAATGATTTCAGGTCTCTACTAGTGGGGCAGTCTAATAGCTCTCTCTCTCTCTCTCTCTCTCTCTCTCTCTCTCTCTCTCTCTCTGTCAGAATGCTCTTATCCTTTCTTGCTTATATTCAGAAATTTTATTTCATAACTAATTGGGCCTAGACATTTTTATATGGGAGAAGAACTGCTTAGAGGTAGATAATGGAGATAAAACAATTTCCTCAGATAATCCACCCCAAATTAATGAATCAAGCAAACGCAAGAAGCAGTTAGAAATAGTAACGACAAAAAATCATCACCAGTGTCTTCACAATCTTTTTTTTTAAGTACAAAAACTTAGTATGTATAAATGATCTTTACTACCTATGTAGCCACAGGAAATCTTGTTAACTCAGGAGACATTACTTGAAGGAATTGAACTCAGGGGTACTTAAACACTGAGCCACATCCTCAGCCCTTTTGTATATTTTATTTAGAGGCAGGGTCTTGCTAAGTTGCTTAGGGCCTTGCTAAATTGCTGAGGCTGGCTTTGAACTTGAGATCCTCCTGCCTCAGCCTCCCAAGCCACTGGGATTATAGGCACACACCACCACACCTGGCAGTTTTGTTTTGTTTTTTTTTTATGGTACTGGGGAGTGAACCCAGGAGTGCTCTACCACTGAGCTATATCCCCAGCCCCCTTTTTTAAATTTTTACTTGAGACAGAGTCTTACAAAACTTCAGGCTAGCCTGCCCAGAACTTCTGATCCTCCTGCCTCAGTCTCCAGAGTAACTGAGATTACAGGTGAGTGACAATGTACCCAGTCGCACTTCACTTCTTATTTCATATTCCTTCTTTCCTTTTCCCATAGGAACTGAGGTTGGAAAGGGGCTGTGACAAAGGGACAGCATAGGAATCTCGTTTCCTAAACCTCCAGACAGACTTCCACTTGGCATGCCGCTAGGAGTTGGCCCTGCTTGGCCAGCCCCCCTGTCGAAGTGTATGAGAATAGTACTAGAGCTACACTCTTACCATTTCTTTATAAATTCACTGACGGCAGGGTCTGGTAAAAGAAATAAAAGCAAAAATTAGGTTCAACAGGAATCAAAGGTATGATAAACATAGCATCACAAATCAAAAGAGGAAGAAGGAGGCTAGGGCTGTAGCTTAGTGGCAGAGCACTTGCCCAGCACATGGGAAGTACTAGGTTTGATCCTTAGCACCACATAAAAATAAATAAACAAAAGGAAGGTTTAAAAACAAAGAATGCTTTTTAAAAAATCCAAATTAGTCGGGCTGAGGCTGTGGCTCAGTGGTAGAGCGCTTGCCTAGCATATGTGAGGCACGGGGTTCGATCCTCAGCACCACATAACAATAAATAAATAAAAACAAAGGTATTATGTCCATGTACAACTAAAAAAATTTTTTTTAAATCCAAATTTGAGAAAAAATAATCACTGGATTTCATAATCATGGGTTTTTACCATCTAGAGTTAAAATCAATAAAAGATAGAAAAACAGGTTAAAATATTTAAAACTTGAAATTTCTGAGTGTCAAAAATTAAAACAGAGAGAGGAAACAAAAATTTTGGAGAAATATCAGGCAGCAAATAAGGTAAAAGCTGAGTAGTACTAGTATTCTAAGAGTATAAAAGCATCAACTAATGAGAAAAAAAGTAAGAGGTACCAAAACTGAATAGGCTAAAGATAGAACCTGAATCCATATATAAAGATCTGTCAAGTGGGGGCTGGGGCTGGGGCTCAGCAGTAGAGGGCATACCTAGCATGTGTGAGGTTCTATCCTCAGCACCACATAAAAATAAATAAAATAACTAAAAAATATTTATATGTATATATATATATATATATAAACATAAGATAAAACTTTCTTATAATCAAAACAATCAAAATCAAAATGAAAAATATTTTACATTAGCAAAATTTCATTGCAAAGGATAATGATTCTGGAAGGGTAAGATGAGATGAGCACTCTTATAACTGCTGGTAAAAGTTTACATTAGTACACTTTATGAAAAATAATGTAGTAGTATGAATCAGCAGTATTTTTTAATCTAATTCTATTTCTAGAAATGTACCCTAAGGAAATAATTCCATGGGGGCAAAGATTCATGCTCAAAAATGTTCCGTGTGGTGTCTTTGACAATGGAAAATGGACAAGCCTGAGATGACCAAAGCAAATGAAATGCTCAAGCAAGTGGAAGTTTATTTTTAGAAGGTTTTTTTTTAATGTGAACTATCATAAAGCCGAAATACCCACACAGATTTTCTGAGTTTTTCATCACATCTGAGAATTCTAACTGAAAACAACATTTTGTACCTGTTGGAGTGTTTTTCATAAAAT